GTTGGGAATCTTTTGAATTTGAACTATGTTTTATGTTTCGATTCCGATTGCTAACATTTCCTGATTCTGATTTTTAGGGGCAAGGTCAAAAAATTTAAATGGTTCAAATGAAGTAGTTAACCAGAGTTCCTTGTGGTTGAAAAATCTTTTTAGAATAATTTTAATTATATGAACTTTTTACTTTTTATAAACTTCACAAAGAAATCCTCACAAGGATTTTATCAACTACTATATACATTAGGGTTGGGCGATATTGGCAGAAAAATTAATTATGTTTAATTGTAGTATTTAGCCGATAATGATGATTGGAGTCCCTTGGCGTCCTCATAGGCCAAGTAAAACCTGAGTTACGATAAATAAATTACTCAACTTTTTTTTTTTAGTGTTGGTTATATTTGAATTGGGGAGGAGCACCGAGCAGACTGACTGGGGAAATCTCCAGTCAGTCTGCCTTGTAGCATTAATCGTATTAATAGTCAAGTRCCAAAAAATAATCAATTAAAGTTTTTCTGATGATTAATTACACAAGATGTAATTTTGCCCTACCGTAATGAAGAAATTTTTGGGGTTTATGTCACATACTGATTTTAATACATGTCAAACCTATGAACTTGAAAATAAATGTTAGGAATTTACTTTTCAGAAGACTCAGGCTCAGAACTGAAATAAATATCTGACCGTGCAGTAAAAGATGATACGTGGTAAAACTTCTTGAGATAAAGACAATTTTAAGGCTAACAAGATTAATAATCTAAMAGTCTGCTCTTGTTTAGATTACTTTATCAGTCTCAAAACAAGATCAAAAATAYTTTTTGGATGGACATTAGATTGTAAGACTTGTCAAAGTGTACACTGCAAAAAAATGTTCATCTTCCACTAGAGCTTTTTTAAAAAAAACTAATGAAAACACACTGACACATATCCACTGTCTGATGCTGCACGTACTTAAACATATTACTGCRTAGATGCTGCAGTTTTAAGGTTTAGTATAACTTGTTAGCTGCCTCAAATTTGGTATGAGATGGAGTGTCAACCAAGGCACAATAAATACAAAATCCTAAGCACGTGTTAGTCCCTGTTCGAATCGATACTCGAGACTTGATGACCACCCCTATTTAAAAGGATCTTTTGGTTGACGTTGCTACAAACTAATGGAATTTCAGGGTTGGTGCATGTCTAAATTTGTAACTTTTATTGTATTATTTTCCAAACGTGCCAAAAATCCTCACCTACAGACCTATAAACAAAATTAAATTGCATTCCAACAGGAAATAAGATTTTGAAACCATAAATTCTTGTGAGTGAATCAATACAAACCAGATAACCTAATATGGCTGCGATAGCTTTGAACGTCATGCTTTCTGTGTGTGTGTGTGTGTGTGTCCGAGTGCATTTAATTGTTTTGCCATATACACTATGTGAAGCCCAAAAAGCAAGACCCAATTCAAAAGTGAGGTGGTAAAAATACACTAAATCAATRGCAGAGTGACACATTTAGAAGTTAAACAATGTGTTTTTATGTTTCGATGCCATGATCCCACATCTACAGCCCTAAAGGACACTGTACACTTTTGCTGTACACTTCTGCCCTCCAGAGAGTTTCAGAGCCTGAAAAATTCACAAGCATCTRATATGACCCGGGAGCAGATAATTTACAGAGTCTTGGCACTCTGTATGATGGAGCACAGGAAAAAAAGCAGGCGGATGAGAAGACAGAAGGGGGTGGGGAGTTACTGGCCACCTGTCACAGTCTGAAAGGGGAACGAAAAAGAATAAGAATGTAAATGGGAACGCATTAATGGGAGCAAGGGAGGCACAAATCATCATAAGCAAACATGGAAAACCAGATGTCAATTAGGAGCATATAATAGTGTGACAGAGTAAATATGTTTCTCTAWTAAACACAGGATGAGTGACTCAGGACAGCGCCAGCTTCTGCTACCCCTCTCCTTTTTTCCCTGGATTAAGCAGCTCCTTTTTCCTCACAGAGAGCAGGCCATCTGTCAATACATCCTCCTCCAATGCACACACAAACTAACACAAACACAAAACCAGGCCCACATACAGAAATATTCAAGTCATCTGTAGATGTAATCAATCATCGCTAAGCAACCAGGAGATTATTACGTAAGTCATCTTATTACAAAGACCCAGTCTGGCTGATTAGGCCCCTTTCTGCCAGGTTCATTGGACTGACATCTCATTCTGCTGTGGTAATTGGCCATTTGACGGACAGATTAACAGTGTGGACATGGTTTAATTTGGTGCTTTTATCGTCTCAGGTTTTCTACCTGGTTTGAGTTAAGATCGCTAATTATAATTAGACCATGTGTTAATGCAGAGGYCTAAAGGACTGATGCTGTGGTGCCCAATCCTGGTGTTCGAGGTCCACTACAATGCATGTTTTAGTTGCTTCCCTGCTCTTCAGCAGGTCTTTGAGTTTTCCAGAAGCCGGTTATTCACTCATTSTTTCAAATCTGGTGTGCCACAGCAGATAAACAAAGGAATCATGCAGGATATT